CGATTGTCTATGAATTCTAACATTCCCCAATCCAAGCCTTTTGCACCCCAAATTTTCTTTGCCCCACCGTTGGTGGGCACACTTTCAATTTTCACTTTCCAGTTAAATCACAGAATGTAGACATTTCTGGCCAGATCAGAAATTATTACCTAATTTCAACTTTCCTTAAGAAGGTGATGAAGAACTGTCTCCGTGTGAACAACTAAGTGGTAAAGTCAGGAATTCCTGGATTCCTCAGCCACAATTAAGGAATGACAACTTAATTTCAGATCACGATAGTGCGTGGCTGGGAAGTTAACTTGGAGATGTTGGTCTTCCTTTGTGCCTTCTGCCCTTCCATGTGGGGAGACACAGAGCATGGGTTTGAAAGGTGCTGTCAGAGGAGGCTTGGCAAGTTGCAGCACTGTATCTTATAGATAGTCTGAACTGCTGACACCACAGATCAGCAAATGGTTAAGATGATGGGTTGAGTACCAGTCAGGTGAACAAATGGTGCTGAGGTTCTTAAGATTCATCCAAGTAAACACAATGTATTCCATCGCTATCCTCAAATGTAACTTGGAGATAGTGGGAAAGCTTTGGGAAGTCAGGTTTGTTTCTTGTCACAGAATTTCCATCCTCTGCCTTGTGTGACTGGTCCAGTTACACTTTTGGTTAATATTGACCCTCTTCAAGATGAACCAGTTTAAGATGACTGGGCCTACAACATTGCCCTGAGGAACTGCTGCTGCAATGCTCTAGGTCTGTTAACTACAATGCTTTATTGTCAATTATAACTCCAGCTAGCAGAGATTCCCTCCCCCAACCCCATCACTTAGCTTCCTTGATGTCACCCTCAATGCAATGATGCCTTGAAGTCATGAACAATTAATCTCATCTCACTACTAGAATTCTCTTTTGTTCATATCTGGGCCAAGGCCAAAACGAAGGGTCCATTGTCTAAATCTAGGAATCTGGAAGCCCTTCCCTTACTTTCTCAAAATGCTCTAGAAGTGCTTCAATTTTCCACAATGCACCACCTTTTGAGAAGATCTTGAAAACTAGTAAGAATGAAGATGGCACTCCCAAACAGAGACACAAGCTATTGCCAAACATTTGTGTTGCAATATCCACTCACAAAACACAAATTCTCTTTTGCATCCACTTTTCCTTGGGAAACATTCCTACAAAGATACATTTTTCTTTATTCGATCACATTCTCCAGGTGTAAACCACAATGTTTAAAAATCCAACGATTCCTTAATATACCAGTTTGTTACTGTACTCATAACTTGCTGTTGTCAGTCCACAAGTACCGTGCATTTTGGGGTTAGAGAAACAGGGAAAAAAATACACAGCTCAAATTAAGAATAATCGATGTTGCAAGTGCAAGCAAGTTTAGACCTGTTCAAAAGGGATAGGTTTCACTTGAACTGGAAAGGGACTAATATCCTGGTGAGATTTGCTACTTCTATTTTGAGAGCCCGTAAACTATTAGAGGGGGCTCCTCAGTAGCGGTCAAATAGAAAGACAGATGAGGATTGTTCTGAATCAGAAAAGAGCAAGTCAGAGAACAAGGTAACTCAGAAGAATTAAACTGCATTTATTTCAATGCAAGGGGTTTTATAAGTGAGGTTAATGAACCCAGGGTGTGTAACAGAACATGGGACTGGGACCTCGTTGCTATTACAGAAACTTGGCTGAGGAAAGGATAGGACTGGCAGCTCAATATTCTGGTTTTAGATGCTATAACAAGGATATAAAGGGAGACAAGAGGGGGAGTGGTGTTTTCAACTGACGAAAACTTTACTGCTGTAATTATTGAGAACATTTCTGAGGGATCGTCCAGTGAAATATATGGGTTGAAATTAGAAATAAAAAAGGAATGATCACATTGATGGAATTGTACTATAGGCCCCCAGTAGTCAGAGAGAAATTGAGAAGTAAACATGCAGAGAGATCTGGGATATATGTAAGAATATTAGGGTTATAATAGTTGGGGATTTTAATTTGCCAAACATTGACTGGGACTGCCATAGTGTTAAAGGTTTGGATAGTGGGGAATTTGTTAAATGTGTTTAAGAATTTTTTTTTTTTTTTTTTTTTTTAAATCAAAATGTAAATGTTCCTACCGTAGAAGGAGCAAACTTGACCTCTTGGGAACTAAGGCAGGGCAAGTGACTGAAGTGTTAGTAGGAGAACACTTTGGGATTAGTGATCAAAATTCTATTATTTTTAAAATAGTTATGTAAAAGAATAAGCCTTCCATAACATTTAAAGTTCTTAATTGCAGTAAGGCAAATTTTAATGACCTGATAAGAACTTTCAAAAGTTGATGGGAGTAGACTGTTCACAGGTAAAGGGAGACAAGTGGGAGGTTTTCAAAAGTGTGATAATGAGAGGTCAGAGGCATTATGTTCCTGTTAGAGTGAAAGGTAAGGCTGGTAAGATTAGCAAACCATGATGAATAAAGATATGGAGGCTCTAAACAAGAACTTTTTAAAAATCATATACGAGATAAAGACAACTGGGATAAATAAATCTCTTGAAGAGTGTAGGAGTATTCTTAAGAGGGAAATCAGGAGGGCAAAGAGGCAATATGAAGCAGCCTTGGCAGATAAGGTTAAAGTTAATCCAAAGAGATTCTACAAGTACATTAAGAACAAAACAGCAACTACATAGAGAGTAGGGCCCCTTTAAGATCAACAAGGTCATTTGTGTGTTGAAACACAGGAGACAGGAGAGATATTATGTTTACATCTTGTGTCAGTTTTTACTGTGGAGAAAGAAATGGGGGCTAGAGAACTCAGGGAAATAAAAACTGATGTTTTGAAAACAGCTCACATTACATAACAGGAAATGCTAGAGGTCTTTGAAAATATAAAGGTAGATAAATCTGCAGGACCTGATTGAGTGTATCCCAGGACATTGTGGGAAGTTAAGGAGGAAATTTCAGGATGCCTAGAAGAAAATTTTGTATCATCTATAACCACAGGTAAAGTGCCAGAGGACTGGAGGGTGGCTAATGTTGTGCCTTTATTTAAGAAAGGCTGTAAGAAGCCTGGGAACTGTCAGACTCACAGGTCTATATCAGTGGTCGGTAAGCTGTTGGAGGGGATTCTGAAAGTTATGATTAAAATGCATTTGCTGAGGCAAGAAATCATTAGGGATGGTCAGCATGGTGAAGGGAAATGGTGTCTCACAAACTGGAGTTTTTTGAGGAAGTAACCAGAAAGATTGATGAGGGAAGAGGGGTAGATGTTGCTTACTTGGACTTTAGTAAAACCTTTAATAAGGTTCCACATGATAGACTAATTATTAAAGTGAGATCACATTGGATTCAGGGTGAGCTTGCCAATTGGGTACAAAATTGACTTTATAGTCAGAAAATGGTGGTAGTAAAATGTTGTTTTTCCAGACTGGAGGCCAGTGACCAGCAATGCTCCACAGGGATCAGTACTGGCTCCACATTTGTTTGTCATTATATAAACATGTATGAGGTATGGTTAGTAGGTTTGTGGATGACACCAAAATTGGTGGTATAGTGGGCAGTGAAGAAGGTTATCTAAGATTACAAAGAGATCTTGATCAATTAGTCAATGAATTGAGGAGTGGCAGATGGAGCTCAATCTGGATAAATGCAGGGTATTACATTTTGGTAAAACGAACAAAGGCAAGACTTATACAATTAATGGTGAAGCCCTGGGTAGAGTTGCAGAACAGAGACCTAGGGGTTCAGATATATAACTCTTTGAAACTTGCGTCACTGGTAAACAGGGTGGTTAAGAAGTCGTTTAGCATGCTTGCCTTCATTGCTCAGACTTTTGAGTATAGGAGTAGGGACATCATGTTGAGTTTGTACAAGACAGTGGTGAGGCCTATTCTTGAGCACTGTGCACAGCTCTGGTCACCCTGTTAAGGTGAAGGAATGTTATTTAGCCTCTAATTGTAACTAAGATTAATGATTTTGATTAGGAAAGAATTTTTGGACTATGAAAACTAAAGGCAACATGAAATAGGAGCAATAAAGTATACAGTAGTTGCCTGAAATAGAAAACAAAGAGCAGCAAATGCACTGAGCAGTCAGAAGCCACAAAGAAATCTGCAATATTCACCTACCTTTCCTTCTTGGGTGATTCTACACATTTTTAACATGATTTTACTTTAAAATGCTGCAAATTTAGAAACAAATGAAACCACATGTTCATTAAGTTTACCAATAAAGTAGAATTTTAAGCAATTTGTGGAAGTTTTAATTTCTTTCTAGCTGTACCTCATATGTCAGTTTCAAAAATTTAGCTGACTGCACAAACCCAATCAATCACACAATTGAAACGTGGAATTATATTGAATTGCTGTCAAAGCTTCAAATGCCTAAAGCTCCCTAACAGCAATGTGGGAGTACCTACTTCAAACTGCAGCACTTTCACCATTACCTTATTCAGTGCAATTAGGAATGACTAATAAATGCTAGCCTTGTCAATCACCCTATTCATCATGAGCAAAAATAATCATGTATGCAAATATTACAGAAAAGCACAAACTTAAATGCACTGGATTAAAATATTGTGTACAAATATGTTAGAAGGATATCGTTAATGTACAGCTAAAGAAAACAGATATCTGTGACCAATAACAATTCCACTGGGATTATGACAATGTTGTAGATGCTGACAAGCTCCAGATTAAATTGCTGACATTGTTGAATCATTTTACTTACTAATATTTTTCCATGTGAATATGAATGAATTAAATTCATAGCACATTTCCTTATTTTTAGCTGGGAACTACAGAATTTATAGTCCCATTCCCAAGTATGGGTTGATGTTTCTTTATATGCTGCTGCAGGAGAAATGGTCACTGCAGTTCAAAAAAGATTTTATCAACTTGTCCAGTTTAGCAGTTTGAACAAATTCAGCGCTAGCTTTTAATCAAAACAGGTTCTCCTGAATAGAAGATAGTTGAAACAGAATCTAATTCAACTTTTCAAAAGGCCCACAAAGTCTACAAAAATTGTTTCATTAAGGTTCACAATTCCTATGTAATAATGCATGAACTGCATGCCACTGATCTTTTATTTTTTCGGAGACATAAATGGCTAAAAATCAAGAGGATTAAGTATAATCTATTACATATCTGTCAGGCTGCTCTATACAAAATTTTATAACCAAGTTTTGATGGAATGACACCCGTTTTAAATCACAGGTTCTATATTTGGAATATGCCATATTGGGCCACTCTTACACTGAAGCCACTTTGTTTAGCAGGAGCAGGTTTCAATTCTAACATAATTTCAAGATTTCCATAAACCAGATTGGAAAGTATGCACATTCTATAAGAGACTTCAAGCAATGAAAGTTCCTGTTACATGAAAATGCATTACTTTACTGAATAGTGCTATAAACAGTGCAGTGAAACTACAGTATTAGTCGATAACTTGTGGTACAAGAGATGTGATAACGCTGTCATCCATTTCAAATTGCTCCCTTCATTTGCATTAATCGTATTAAATTAGAGTTCTAATTTTATTCCATTTAGCTGACCACAATATGTGAATGGAGACTCAATCTAGATCTTCTAACTTATTTCGTTTTCTGTAACCACAACAGATCATAGCATGCGTGATATTGCAAGAGTTAGGAAGTCTTCATAACTGATGCGCACATTTCCAGAACGGTTGGTGTCTCTCTCTTTAAAAGCATCAGTTGTGCTCTGCAATTGCGTGCAAATCTGGATGAAACTGTCCAGCTGAATGGAGGACTGAGCTGTTTTTTGTGCATATCGAGCTGTCAGGAACTGGACAAACTGTGGGCTTAAATTGTAACCCATCTGAGTGAGAGCTGCAAAACAGAACAAAACTCATTATAAGCCGCACTAGACAAAATGTAAAATTTTCTAGTACAGAATAATTTGAACATTCAACTAAAATTAAATTATGAATTATGTTGTAAATGAAAATTACAGAAACAAACTACTTCACGGAAAACAAATTAGAGACGGTCACATACAAATATTAAATAAATTTGTGAATTAACAGTCAATTGTTAAATTGATTTTAAAATTTGTACCAATTTTAATAAACCTCAATTGTTCAATAAGTAGCATCTTTCAGAACATTTCTATCTTGTCTAATCATTATTTACACCAATAGAAGAACTAAGACATTATCAAATCCAAAAGACATCCTAAAGGGTTTTCCAATCCGTCAATTGTTGTTGAAGTACAGAAACTGAGATTATTTGGGAAGTCCATTTCCACAGAAAAACCACAAAATGAATGTCCAGATAATCTGTTTTAATGATGGCACTCAAGAGGAAATGTTAGCCAGATGTTCTGGAGATGCCCCAGGTTTTTTTTCCCCAAATTTTGTCATGGAATATTTTACATACAGTAGTTCTGTGTTTCGTTAACTTGAATTGGCTGTAACGTGATTGAGGAATAGTGGACGCTATTTGGATAACATGAACTTTCTGCTGTACAGGTAAAGCAATTTTCCATAGTGCAAGGTCACACAAGAACGCAACTGTCACGTTATAGGAGAGCTACCTGTATATCTGATCAGACAGACCAGGCTTCAGTTTAGCACCTCCTCTGAAAAATTGATATCTCAGTTATGCATTGCAGAACCAGTCTAGATATGTGCTTGTCTTTTTGCAAGACTTGAACCCAGACTCAAGATAGAGTGCTATCACTTGAGCTGAGTCGATCAACTATTTCTGACAATCCACAACCCACTGTTGTGGCATAGTGGTAGTATCTTTCCACTCAGCCAGGAGATCTGGGTTCAAGTCCCATGTGCTCCAGAAGTGTGCAATAACATCTCTGAACAGGTTATTAAAAAATATGGATCCTACCATGTTTTCACAAAGTACCTCGTCAACCAAGATAGTGCAGAACTGTTGTAATCATAGCCTATCCCTCAACTAAACAGGTAAACAAAATGCACTTCTTGAAGTTTCACGTATTCTCTTCTATTCTCATTTCATGAATTCAGTACAATTCAGGCCAAAGGTCAATCTTTACGACTCACGCCTACATCACTAGAGTTAACAGCAAACAGAGACTCTTAAGACTCACCTTGTTGTAGCTCCTGAGAGTTTATGGTCCCTGATCGATCCCGATCAAACTGCTGAAACATGTTGCGCCACTGCTTAAGAAATCCCCAGAGTGCGGAAAACCCATACAGATCGATTTTTCCCATTTTGTTTTTGTCAAACATGTCTGGAAGAATGAAGGGTAAAATTGCTTTAAATCACTGACCACATAAACAAGCTCAACAGCTGAATCAGAGAAAAATAAAACTACTTTCTAATGAACATGCCTTTTGTAGAAGGAAATCTGTTGCCTTGACCCAGTCTAGCCAACATGTGACTCCAGATCCAGAGCAATGTGGCTCCCAGCTGCCCTCCAAAATGGCTTAGCAAAGGATTCAATTCAAGGGCAATTAGGAATGGCTATCAAATGCTGCCCTTGCCAGCAAAACCCACATCTCATGAAAGAAGAAAAGCAAAAGAAAAAACATTTGAGGTGGTTTTGGGGGAACAGAACTCCATCAAAATGGAGTTGCAAACCACCTGCTACTAATGCAGTGCAGCAACAGTGGTAGCCTAGAACAGGTCAGCCACCTGCCCTTATGGTGTTCCTAGTTTAAAAGAGATAGCCTAATTTTTATTTTTAAATAAAGATGCTTACCCTAAATGATAATTGTGATTTACTAAAATGAATAACAGGTTTAATACTGCATACAAATTCTGGTAGCAAGAGCTTGAATATAGCAGAAGACAGACGTATTTTGTCACAACTTTTCTCTTGCACTCATCAGAACAATATGCATGAAATACTATAGTAGAAGGAAAACAGCTATCATATTTTATGAGAGGAGAATGCTGATAGGTTGGAAAATAGACACTGATTTATACAGGTATTTCCACTGAGAATGCATTAATTTATACTGATTCACAGTTCATTGCCAAAATTTGTTTAAATTTTAAACAGTATATGCTAGTGTGCCATGTTACAAGCCCAATTGACAATCCTATATTGGTTGTCAGTGTAATTCTTTGCACACTCAGGATTATTTGAAATTGTTGTCCAATCACAGAATCAATGTTCAATACTACTTGGGAGCTTTGCAAGGGCTGTCAGGTTGGGTACAGTTAATCAGTACTTTGCTTGTTGCAGAAAGAGAATAGAATGCAATATGTGATATGATCTGCCAGTCTCCGCAGCATGCCGCCTATAGACCTAGCATCACAGAAAATCACATTCTTCATTATTCATTTGTATGATAGGCAGAATGTCTTTTTAGCTTGATGGAAGCTTCCTGTTATTAGTGAATACCACTCGTGTTGCTTCTACATAGTGACAGCATGTGTGTAGGATGCATTTTCCAAATACTGACACATATCAAATAGCATATCTCCTGCTGTTCGCAACAAACAAGGTTTGACAATATGCAACCAGCCTGCGTTTGCAAAGATACAGTAACCAACATTAGATGTAATTCTGCAATTGGACAGCATTTTCTGAATAATCTTAAGTGCACAAAGAATTACAGTCTCACCCAATCTACAATCGTCAGTTGCGTGCAAAGTGTCATGCACTTCCATGAAGTGGAAGCTTCATAAGTTAATACACAGGGCCTTGTCATTTAGACAGAAAGAACATGTACAACGTTTCAACTCAATAAAACAGGTGACAGCATCTTCTGGTTCATTTCTCAGGGAAAGCTCTTGAGCAATCAAAGTTAATCTGCCAGCTTATAATGTAAACAAAGCTTGGTAGTTGACTTTCAGTCATCATTCAACGGCACATTACTCCCCATGCCGAACCTCTACTACTCAGAGTCGACTTGTCAACCAACTGATCAGCACTGTCTTCTCATGTTAGTATACATTCCCCTTTACTTTGGTATTCCTTGAAAATTGCCCCAATGAGTGAGAGGCAGAAAGCTATGAAAAAAGTGTATTTTTCAGCAATAATCTCTATACTTAAGTGATCAGCAGCACTCTGCATTATTTTGGAAACTTATCAAAAAGAAAATGTTTGATTAAAAATTAAAATACACTTTCTACTTTCAGTTCAACTTTCAAAGGGATATAATTTTCTTGCCTTATTTAAAACTTATTCAACACTAAACTGAAAAATCCAGTCACTAAAAATTTTGAAAATGCAAGATAGCAAATGGGAAATGATTAAGTTATGCACAAAAATGGCTTGCGTGTTTGCCACTTATAGCACTTTCAAAAATAAAGCTTAACCTTTTTAAATAGCCTCAAATTTGGACCAGATGTCACTTTCACCACTGTTTCAGAAACAGGCCCTATTATCCATAATTTAGTAAAAGAGAGCAAAATTAAAACCTGGTTTAATTGAACCAATAAATTATCCCAATTAGCAGCAGTAATACACTACATTTTACAAAGATAAGTACCAATTATATGTAGTTGCCACGCAGGGGAAGGCAGTTATGACTGACCAAACCAAGATGTACACATTCTGGTCAAATGACATATTATCATTAAATAAATGCTGAAAGTATCCTTTCATTTTGATTAAGTTAGAACTTAGTCAGATGGAACAACACCCTTGATCGTCACAGACTACTGAAATTAACAATTTCATTTTATGTGGGCAATATTTGATATTTCTGTTCAAATGGAGGACATTGATAACTTAACTGAGACTGCTAGCTTTAAACAAATTGGTAAAGTTATCAGAGAACTGTTACAAAGATCATCACTACTGTTAAGTTGCGACAGCAACAACTAATTTTGTGCAGTTTCAGTAAAAATACTTCATTTAGTTGATTTCTAAAACCAGGCCTCCCAGTTTTAATTCCTTCTATTAAGTCAAATCGCTGGTAAAATTTCAGACCCCAGAAAGTTTTTAATTAACGGATTCTTGTTTCGCTGGTTTGGACAGAATTTTTACCATGTTGTTAAATTTATCACAACTTAAGTGTATATATGAACTAGTGACATTAGTGTTCTCTGCCCTCAGTGGAAATATTTCCCCTTCTTGATTAAATACCATTTCTATTTTAACACCCATAACTAAAGAAAATACTACACCCAGATGCAATTGTACATTGCATATACATTCCGGTAAATTGAAATTGGTCCCAAGATATACCAATGGTGCACTTTGGTACATCAAGAAAACAGACTTGTGACATGATTCCAGACGTTGAGAGCTAGAAACCTCAGGTCTGTTGAAATGGATGTTGCTAAGATGTTAAGATCTTTTCCATTGGTAATACATAGTGACATTGGCAGATGTTCAGCTTTCCTCACTTCCCTCCACCCTGTCCCCAATCAAATGGCGCTAGTCTGCAGAATGTCACTGCACTGTTCAATAGTTTTAAATAAATATTTTAAAAATTAGATTTCAATCTTACTAAGCAACATGTAGCAGGTGTCATCGTTAAACGTCGACCAGTTGCTGTTGACAAGGGCCTGCTTGAGTTCCTTCAGGGAGACATAGCCACTTCGATCTGCATCCACCGACTGGAACCAAGAGAAGGCTTCAGGATCTATGCCTGCCGGAACATCACCTGTACAACAGCAAGTCAATATTGTGTTAAGCGGGAAACAGAGTAGGGTACTTTGCAAATAATAGGAATGAGCAGAAGATTAGGGTGAAGCACGATAAAAGGCTCTCACTTTCAACTTAATTGAAAACCATATTATCACAAAGATAATCCAACACTTGCACACAACAGAAGACATCTTAAGAAAAATATCGTAAAACTTTCAAAATAATGCTGTAAAATGGAAACATTACAATAGATAATATTTTCACAAGATAAACCCAATGGCAGATTTGCTCCTTTTAATTTTTTTATCTAACATTACCAGGCCTCACGTGTTTATCATAACTTGCCTTATTCTTTGTCAAAATACAGATAGTAAAATAAAGATCCAGCAAAATCAACGATACAACCAAGCAATGCAAAAATCTCAGGGCAAAATTGTTTGGTTTTTAACGCACAAAATTAAATGACAGAAGTAAATTTGAACCTTTTTAATTTGGATACAGCTACTTCATTAAAAGCATATTTTTAAAAGAATATTGTTTTATGAAACGTTACCTCAGAGTTCTACAAATTACTCCAATGACATCACTGACATCAGAAATGTCCTATACATTCCAACAGTTTCAGATGCCCGAGAAGGGCAATTTCTGACTGTACTGGCAGCCAATCTGAAGCTACCTGACTCCAGGGAAACCTGCTGTTGGCTCAGGGCCTGCACATTCATTAAAATTATCCCATTTCACCATATTCACAGCATTCTAGAGCATCATAATTTCCAAACCCCCAAAAAAATTGCTAACTGCCGCACCTCAAAATATACTAAAGGCCAGCTGCTATTTCAGACCAAATTAACTGTAAAAAAGGTCTTTCTGAGCTAAGTTTTGTAATATAACTTCAAGTTTGCATTTACTAAGCTCCCATTAGTGCAGAATGATGCATTTACTGTGCAACAGACGTTGCTATTATGCAAACACAAAGGTAAAAAGAGACTTTACGATCAAGTTACAACATTGTCACTGATTCTTAATTGGTACATTAGAACCCGAGGTGGTTTCTTCTCAAGTTCCAATGTTCGTACGCTTGTAGTTACAACACTGCTATTCATGGTTTTGAGTCCCTGACATTTGAGTCTAACAGACCAGCACAGAAATTAGGACAAGTTGTGAGTCTCAGCCAGTCTGATCCATGGGATGGAACAGAGAGAAATAAACAGCATTTCCTTTTCCCAAAACCAGTCAGCTTACATATTTCATAATTTGGAGAATAAGTTATATGACAGTTTTATCATTTGACCTCCAGAAAGATTACATGGGCATGCAAATGCCCATGGAGAAAATTGGAATTTCTTTGTCAGGTCATTAATATTAGTGCAGCCACTTCAGATTTTCCTCAAGAAACATCTCAGTTTACTGCATCAGATAGTTACCAGCCAAAGAAGCACCTGATCCATATTGCCTTTGCTGTGGAATTCCATATGGGTGTCCTCCATATGGACCACCTGGTGCTGGCCCTCCACAATATCCTGCTGAACATGCACTTCCATATGGGGCTCCGGGAGCTGAAGGTCCATACTGGCCTCCTTGTGCAGGGGCTCCAAAGTGCCCTCCTGGTGGTGGAGCTCCATATGGTGCACCTGGTGCTTGGTTTCCATATTGCCCACCTGCTGATGTTCCGTACGGTGCGCTCGGTTGTGGCCCTCCATAAGGACTACCTGGCGGTGGACCCCCATACTGGCCAGAATGGGGGCCATATTGACCTCCAGCCTGGTGTTGACTTGAGAAGTAGCTGCCCGGTGGAGCTCCTGGTGCAGGCCCTGATGACCCAGGATAGTTCTGCAAGATAAAAGGCAAATTTTACAACACCATTCATGCAAAAACAGCAGCAAAATTTGCTAATGTATATTTACACCTCTCAATGTATGAACAGCATACATTATGAAAGGAAATTAACACCCAATGTTTTAGCAGAACACATGTCAAAAGAAATCATGTAGCTGGAGGGAAATCTCAGATAATGATTGGGAAAGGGATAAAGAAGTGAAGGAGGGATGGTGTAAAATGAAATATCATCGTGACTGGCTGGAAGAGTTACGATGACAATAAAGTCAAAATCTCATTTGTTTTTCTCTTAGCAGGCATTTACACCCTGTTGATAACCATGTAACTGATGCACCATTCCCCAAGTGGTTTAAAATATTTTAATACATTGCATTCTGAACCACAACACCTTTCAAAAGGGAATACGCTACATTTCAGGGTAATAGGACCACGAGACCAGAGTGGGTGGTCCTTGTCTTTTTACGAATAACCCCAGCCCCTTATAACGGTCCCTTGCTTAGGATTACAAATCATGGCCATTGGTAGAACCAGATAACTTTTGGCAGTGATGGCAGAAGAGCTGGAACCTTGAACAACAAGTTGCTTTCACATGAAGGAGGATCCTATGGGAAGAGGATTTGTTTCCTTCAAGCTCACATAAGAAAGGCAATGGGAAATCAGCTCATGTATTCTTGTCCCTAGACATATTGATCACTGAAGTTGAAAATAGGAAGTCCCTATGAACAACTAAAGAGGAAAGCGCAAAACCATGAAGCAAGGGACCTGCTTCTGAACAGGTCATTACAGCATGTTTCATTTTTTGATTAGTTTGGCAATACGAAAAATAACTCAAATTAACCTGGAAAGGCAAAATATTCTAAACTTTGAACATGTTAAACTTGCCATTTAATATTGCAGTGATTGCGTGATATTTTCCACTAACAGCAATCTTCCACCAGATCAAAAAGATGACAAACTGAATACCAGACAATTGAATAACAGTGTGTATGAATTTCAGTGCCAGTGTCATGCCATTACATAGACCATACATCCTAATCATCGGCATGTTCCTTCGGCTATTTATAATAGGCACAGTACAGACCATATTCAACCAGCCCACACATACATGCAAAGCATAAGTCAAATCATTTGCTGTTAGATCTGATTGGACAGCACTTGCAGAACAATTCTCAGTATGCCACTAGCTGCATTGGGAACCAATTTAAGATATTCCGTAGAGGTTATAACTTGTTTCACTTATGCTTGTAAAAAAAAG